GCGGTCTTCAGACCCCTGTTGTGGCACGATTTCCTGGCCTTTTCGTGGAGACAACTAGAAGACTGTATTTACTTATTGGTTTCAACCATACTCTCAACTCAACCAGAAAACAAACAACAACAACGATCGCCAAATCGCTGTCATCAGCAAAACGTGCTCGCGTGCGTGCATTGGCTTACGTGTACGTGTAGTACGGTGTACATCAGTGTGCGTGCATGCATATCGAAGTGTACGAGTAGAAAAGAAGAATGATCATGCGCATGATGCATCGATGAGTCATACCACCACGTAACCATGGATATAAATAATGGCGACGCGATGGCGACAGCAAAGGTCCGCGTACAAAAGCGCAGGTGCAACAAGGAAAAATCAGAGTGCAGAACAAACAGAAATTCAAATCGAAAGGAGATAAATATTGTGGAGATGAAGCAAATTGTTGTACATGTGGCTGCGCTTGTGTCTCTTCGTTGTACATGCGGTTGCACGTGTAGCTCTTTGTCGTACATGTGGCTGCTTTTGTGTCTCTTTGTTGTACATGCTGCTGAGTCGTGGTACATGCTGCTGCGCTGTTTTTGACTCCTGCGTACATGCGGCTGCACCGTCTTCTGTCCCCGTTGGTACACACTTGCTCGTCTTGTCCCCGTTGTACGCCTTCAATCTAATATATTCTGCTGTCTAGTCTTGTCTCAGTGTCAGTTGTCCGTCGTTCGTTGTCAGTGTTAGTTGTCTGATAACCATGAGTTCTCCATCGCCTACTGAAGCGAAGTAGAAGAAAAAGCTCTCTAACAATTTGCACTAGTCCTTTGTTGTGTGGCGTGGCGAGGAGCGTGGAGGCAGTTCGTTCACGGTTCTCAAACCCGTGACGACATTTGGCGCCCAACAAATCGTGTCCACGACCCTGAGTTCGTCTCCATATCAGCTGTGTTTTCGTCTCCTCTTCGTGTTCTCGCCATGGCCCAGCTACTTGAGTCTCACGAACGTCCAAGCCTCTCATGAGAGCGCCTACTCAGGTGAGAATGCCTTTGTAATTGTCTACTCTGCGTAATGTGTTGCCGTAACTAGTATTCGATTTCGAATTTTTTCAAATTGTTTTGCGTTGGGTGACTCTGGTCCCGGCAGGAGGTCCGTGGAACCTTGTTCTCTTGTGCTCGAGTGTGTAGTGTAGTCTAGCTGCTCGTTGTAAGTTCGCCCCGTTGTGTTCGTTGTTCCTGTGTCGCTCTGACTAGTAGATCGACTACCCTGTACTGTACGGTTGTGTGTATGAAAATTTCAAACTTCTGTTCGTGTGCTACGCGTTCGAATCTGGAACTTGTTTTTGCTTGCTCGTCGTGAATTCAGCATGGGTAGCTTTGATCTCGTCTTGTGTTGTGCACTTGTGCTTGTCACGGAGACCGAGTTGCCGCCGGACTGCTCCGATATTGTGACTGTGTCACGTGATTTGTTTGGATGTCCACCGGAACGTTCTCGAGGTGCTGCCTCGTTTGTAGTCGATCCATATTGTTTTGTTTCGTGTTTCTACCGTTTCACTAGTACTAGAAGTAGTAGTAGTAGTAGTTTCTCCATGTTCCGTGCAGAGCGTTGTCAGGCTCGGTCATGCACCATGTGCACTGTGCACCCAGTCGGAAAGCTGGTGGCTTCCGGTTTGGTGGGAGGTGTGAACTTCATGTAGGATTCTCGTTTCGGATCCAGGTTGAATTTTTTTGTGAGCGTATGGTTTTGTAATAATTGTGTTTCGGCATGTGGGTCTCTCTAGTTCGTTTGGGTGGGCGTCTGATCATGGTGAGCCACGGTCTGCCTGGTGGTCTGCAGGGATCCTGTGTTTTGTTGTATCGGTTTGCCTTGCGGGTGTTATGGTTTCCGCGTGTTGCTGGTTGGCCCTTGCGCGCCCCAGTCGGTCCCTGACAGTTTTTTTTCTTCGGTTTTATGGTTTTGCGAAGCGGATGTAGTTCCGTGTTTTTCAGGTTCAATCCCTGTGGTTTTTTCAGGTTCAATCCCTGTGGTTTTTTTCAGGTTCAATCCCTGTGGTTTTTTCAGGTTAGAGACCTGTGGGTTTTCAGGGTAGCGCCCTGTGGTTTTTCTTCATTATCTTTTGCGTATTGGTAATCGATTTGTTTGTGTGTCCTAAATGGTGTCCTCACTGATTAATTGCTCCTGTTTCAGTCGACGTGTTCTTCCTGGCTGTTCTTCCCTTCCTTCGTGTGCTTTTCTGATTTTGGCGATGGCTGAGATGTTTGCGTCAGTCCGTGTTTCTTTCTGTGTGTGTCTTTCTGTCTCTGTGAGCTTTCGTAGCCCCATCGGCTGCGTGATGGTTTGCTGCGTGATGGTTTTCCGGACAACTCCTGTGCTTCCAGATGCCTGGTCACCCGGTTCAGCTGCCGCGGTCTTCGCAGTGCCATCGGTTTGCCTTGGCTTCGTACCAGGGCAACGTGGTTACTTCCTGGCGGCCCACGCCTGAAAGTATGGCGGTTCCCTCTATGGGTGGGCCCGGTCTGTTTTCTTTTCACACATTTGTGCCTTGGCTTTTCCCCGTTGTCCGGAGTTACGTCTCTTACTGTTTTGGCTCTGCATGTTTTGTTTCTATTCTCCTGTGTATGTTGTTCACATTTGATTTCTTTTTCTTCTGTCTTTCTTCTTATTTTGTTTTGATTGCTTCCATCCACAGGAGTGGATGTTTTTTTTTGATGGGGGATAGTGTTGTACATGTGGCTGCGCTTGTGTCTCTTCGTTGTACATGCGGTTGCACGTGTAGCTCTTTGTCGTACATGTGGCTGCTTTTGTGTCTCTTTGTTGTACATGCTGCTGAGTCGTGGTACATGCTGCTGCGCTGTTTTTGACTCCTGCGTACATGCGGCTGCACCGTCTTCTGTCCCCGTTGGTACACACTTGCTCGTCTTGTCCCCGTTGTACGCCTTCAATCTAATATATTCTGCTGTCTAGTCTTGTCTCAGTGTCAGTTGTCCGTCGTTCGTTGTCAGTGTTAGTTGTCTGATAACCATGAGTTCTCCATCGCCTACTGAAGCGAAGTAGAAGAAAAAGCTCTCTAACAATTTGCACTAGTCCTTTGTTGTGTGGCGTGGCGAGGAGCGTGGAGGCAGTTCGTTCACGGTTATCAAACCCGTGACGACAAAATCAGTTTGGTCTGTCAGAGGGTGCTTGCGCCCAGAGACAGGGTGACAGCAAACCCTGTCAGAGAGAGTCAGTGTACAGAATAGGAATACATAGAACGCAGCACGCTGTGGAGTTGCTGTGGAGAGCGAGAATGCAAGCAACAACGTAAGTATTATCTATGCAACTGATTATATCGGCGTATCCGACAAACACGCACAACAAACACTGTATTGTAACAACACACTCGTAAATGATGTTATCACAACAACACTCATTCTATTTCAGCGCAGTGTCCTGTCCAATCACACTCAAAATCACACTCGTAAATCTCGCACACTCCCTCCTTGACAACATGACAACTGACACTCATAAATCTCGCACAACATGTTTCTTGGACTTGATTGTTCTACTTTCTTCTGTTGTCCGGTGTTGTCTCTGTCCCTGTTCCTATTTCTCTCAAATTGCCTTTTTCATGTGGATGAGGAAAAGAATGTGTCTATCACACACATGTTGTACATGTGGCTGCGCGTGTGTCTCTTCGTTGTACATGCGGTTGCACGTGTAGCTCTTTGTCGTACATGTGGCTGCTTTTGTGTCTCTTTGTTCTACATGCTGCTGAGTCGTGGTACATGCTGCTGCTGCGCTGTTTTTGACTCCTGCGTACATGCGGCTGCACCGTCTTCTGTCCCCGTTGGTACACACTTGCTCGTCCTGTCCCCGTTGTACGCCTTCACTATGATATATTCTGTTGTCTCGTCTTGTCTCAGTGTCAGTCGTCCGTCGTTCGTTGCCAGAGTTAGTTCTTCATTATGAGTTCTCCAGTCGCCTTGTGAAATCAAGTTAAAGAAAACGCTCTCTAACAATTAGTACTGGTCCTCTGTTGTGTGGCGTGGCGAGGAGCGTAGAGGCAGTTCGTTCCCGGTTCCAAACCCGTGACGACACACATAAGTAGTAGTGCATCAATGTCAAGAAGTATATGAGCTATGTGAATATGGCTCTGCACTATTTCAACCCTGAAGAACTTGACGAAGACGGGTCAAATGACCCAGCAGCCATTGCGGCGTACATGCGCATAATGAATGATAAGTGTGGAGAAGGCCCAAGTGGCATCTCGGCCAAACTGACTACCATGACCCACTTCCAGGCAAGGCTTCAGTGAAGAACTTGACGAAGACGGGTCAAATGACCCAGCAGCCATTGAGGTGTACGTGCGCATAATGGAGGATGAGCGTGGAGAAGGCCCAAGTGGCATCTCGGCCAAACTGACTGCCATGACCCACTTCCAAGTAAGGCTTCAGTGACGGGTTTGTTGCCACATCAGACGTCACTGCAGACCACCGTTTTACATTGCATGAGTAAAGTACCACAAATGTCGATTCCGCTTGTCTTATTGATTGCGGTCATCAATATAGTGTTTTCTATTTTATTTTATTTTACAAAGACCACTTTTAAGCACTTAGGCCACAATCACACCCTAGCTGCATCTCATGTTTGGCATTTAAAAATGCCAAACATCAGATGCAGCTAGGGTGTGATTGTGGCCTAAGCAAAGAAGGTGCTGAAACAAATTCATGTTCAAGTAAAAGATTTGTTCATATTTCGGCAAAGACATTAGTCACGAGAATGTGCATGCTTCATATGCACATGCCGTAGTGTCTTGCATTAAAGCCTATCTCGAATAGACGCCTGTTTTGAATACAAGCCTGATTTTCAAGATACACTGTCGGCACATAAGCCTGGTTTCAGTGTTGACACGCATAGAAATACCTGGTGTGAATAGAAGCCTGATGTGAATAGAAGCCTAGCCCTTACATCGGCTTCTACAGGAATAAGCCAGGCTTTAATGCGCGACATACCGGTATGCACATCCACACGTTGTAAATACTGCTTACCGAGTCCATCAGCATCTTCTTCTGTAGCAATGCCATTTCCTTGCGTAGGTCAGCCTGCATTGCAACTTGCTGCTGTTGATGGCAAGTGTCTAGTTTCTCCGTGCTCTGTCACACACACACACACACACACACACACACACACACACACACACACACACACACACACACACACACACACACACACACACACACACACACACACACACACACACACACACACACACACACACACACACACACACACACATGCACGCACGCACGCACGCGCGTGCACACACACACACACACACACATGCACGCACACACACACACACACACACACACACACATACACACGTACACACAAGCGTGTGCGTGCACACACACCCAGACACATACACGTGCGCACGCACCGACGCACGCACACACACGCACACGCACACTTACACACACACACACAGACATACACACACACACACAGCAACAACCACAGACAAGAATGTGGGCAGTTTTAGCAAGAACACTAAGGCTGTGTCTACATGAGAAATTTCAACCCGGGTCGAGTTCAGCCCGGGTTGAAAGTCTGTACCAGGGGCGTGCTTGGCGAGGGGCACAGGGGGCAAGTGCACCCCCCAAAATATTTCGACCGGGGTTTTGAAAAGTCACGAATGTATTGCGGAAATCCCGACCTCGCGGGAGCACGTTCTGCACCTGTGTCTTGTACATTGTACTAGTAAGTATTAGTTGTAGTGTAGCAGGGGGCCTGGTGCGCGGCCTACATGCAGCCAGGCAGTTCCGTACGTACAGCCTGTCAAGTGTCATATCAGATTGCACGACATCGCGAAAGGATGCGACCACAGTGGCACACGAACGTCAGCGCTTGAAAGGAAAGAGAACGGAAGGGAAGGCACAGTGCTGTCGACGGATTGGTTTTTAAACATTTGTAAAGTTTTCATCCTTTTTAATATTTTGAAAAAATCGATATGATGCTGTACTGTGTTCATTCTTGATGACATACAATCTTTGTAACAGTAATAATGGCGTCACATGTACAAATATATGATGTTGTCATCGGTACAACCTTTTGAAAATTGCTGTTGTCTGGAAGTGGTGCACCCACCTGGAAGGGGAGCCGAGCACGCCCCTGTGTACGATAGACAAAATAGGTGAGCGTTTACATGAGGACAGTTGACCCGGGTCAAATACTGATATGCCGCCAAAAGTCCACTTCTAGAGTCCTGTATGGTCACGTGAATCCGTTCGCCCGAAATTTGCATACGCAGTGCTGTTCAAACCTGGCCCGAGATACGCACAGAAGTACGTTAGTACGAAATTTCAACCCGGGTCAAGCGCAATGCGTCATATAAACGCGCCATTCATTTTGTGTCCATGGCGGGTTGAAATCTCACCCGGGTGGAACTCAACCCGGGTTGAAACGCCTCATGTAAACACAGCCTAAGCCCTCTCTCCACCAACATGTTGTCAGGGACTAGCAACACAACACTGACAGTAAATATGCAGCAACTATCACAGGCCGGACATCATTTCAATCTCGTGATAGGACTAACTGCCGAAACGGACTATGCCTTTCCCAACACTCATCCAATCAATCCTTCACAACCATGGATTTTAGAGAGATATGTCACCCACAGGACCACTGCATCACCTATGTCAATAGGATTTAGGCTGCAACACGCCAGCTTTCTAACAGTATTCTTGCTAGAGGTAGTGTTGGAGTTTGGGGTAGATGGGTTTGAAGGGCAAACAGTCAGAATGTGTGTGCTGCCTGTCCTATTCTGTATCTACTCACGCTTTCACACTTTCACCCACTCCCGGCCCCTGCCTGTCACCATCTATAGACGGTACGTGACCTCGCACTACCCCGCACTACACACAAATTGTGACACAATACCACGCTCTACTGTGCATGGTCCCCCCACCCCGACTCCACTTTCGCTACACTCGCATGTCTGTAAAATAAACCACTTCCTTATTGTCAGTACTTGACACAACACTACCTTTGTAAACTGCTCAGCCAGCTGCTTGATGGACATCAGTTTCTGTTGCTGTGTGACACGTTGTTGCTGGAATAGTTTCTGCTGTTGCCGTAGAAGATTCTGCACAGGTCATGGGACGTGCACACCACAATCAGACACGGCGACCAGTATGCAATTATGCACACACACACACACATACGTACACACGTATGCACATGTACATACACCAACACACACACACCTCAGACCTCAGACATGCCCATCGCGGAAGCGATGATAGCGAACAGCTATGTTAGACATAGCAACTTGTGCTGGGATTACACCATTCAACAGCTTGCAAGGCTGATGAATTGACCGCCACTATTTTTAGCCTGGTATCCACCACACAGCTGTTTGAAGTGACTTTTTCTGGCCAGTGAATCCCTATTTTTCATTTTTCCAATATTTTTCTACACACACACCACACCACATACTCCGGCATACACTGGCTGTTGGTAACCACCCAGGAGAATGAAAGAAAAGTCAGGAAGAGTCCGAGAAAGAGAAAAAAGACGCGTGCGACCATAATCGTCGGGAATTGAACCCGCAACATACACACGCACACACACAGACACACAAACACACACACACATACTAGTACACATACACACATACACACACGCACACACACACACATACACATGGATACATGCGCGCATGCACACACATATGTACAAACATACACACACACACGCACACGCACATGTACAAACATACATGCACGCAAACACCCAAACACACACACACACATACACACACAGAGCTGCCCTTACCTGCAGTTTCTCGTCGCTCTCTTTTGTTTTCTGCATATCACCTTCCCACTGCGTGACAAGTGTGTTCAGCTGTTTGATGTACTGATCTTGAAGTTTACCTCTGTAGCAGTCGCAGCAAGGACAACACCAACCCACCGCCACCAACGACGACAACAACATCAACATCAACAACAACAACAACAACAACAACAACAACAACAACAACAACAACAACAACAACAACAACAACACAAGCAGCAGGAGCAGTAGCAGCAGTGGTAGTGGTAGCAAAGGGGCGGAGACAACGATGACGAAAACGAGGAAAAAAGCGAAGAACAGGAGGTGATGGCCAAGTTGGCTTTCGTAATTTTTTTTAGATTCAGACTAGTTGAAAGGTGGGCAGTTCCAGAGTCATCTTTTAAAATCACCACCACCATCCGTGACGGTCTTAATAAACTGCAATTTCTATAGATAGATTTCCAAAGCTTCACCAATGGGGCTTCATGAAGTAGTATTCAATAATGTTTCAGAGTGCAAAGTTCAATACCAATACAAACAAACAAAGAATACGCAGCTGTGGCTAAAAGAGTAAATGTGTGGCATACTAACTTTATTACCTACCCAGGGGCGTAGCACCCACTACGACTGGTACGACCATGGCCATACCACTTTTCGAAAAGTAGGGAGGTTTAGTCCCACGTAATCCGTGGGTACTTTACGTGTGTGTACCACGTGATACTCAGTGACCCACGTACAGACGTTTTCTGATTCACGACATACCGTGTATGGAGGCTCACCCACGTTCCGCCAGAACGTGGGTGAAAATCAAAATGGAGCGCATTTTGCGAGCTGTGAAGGTGCTCAGCTGAAGAAATTTCCGAAGTACGAAATCAAAATATTCGATGAGCTTCTTAGGCCCGGGTAACTTCGTCTTTGACCAGGTTTGGGCCTTTCGCTTCATGCTTTTGTTTGTTCCGTGTGACAAAACATAACATTGCAGCGTGGATGCCCTTCATCCACTTTACATGTATCACCCACGTACGCGTTTCCGTTACGTGGGAACTAAACCTCCCTAGTGTGGTCCGTCCGGAACGTTCAAAACCGTAATAAAGAAAATCAGGATCCATCGATGTGCATATGCGCATCAGACTTTTATTTGACCTTTTTCGGGACTCGTTCTCGTAGATCTGCCATGCATCTGTCTCTGCGCCAGAAGTGTGCCAGAAGTTCCCAGAACGCAGGATTTTGTGTCTTTTTACAAAAAAAATCCCGCGGGAGGTCCCCCGGACCACCCTCTAACACGGCCTTTGGCCGCACCGACCTTCGGTCGTACCACTTCCACAACCCCTCCTACGCCCCTGCTACCTTGCCTGCAGCATGCCTGTTATAGATTGATCTATTATTAATATTTGTCGTACGATCTACGATCTACGTTCTACTACGTGTGTCGTTCTACGTTCCTTTGATGCATGCAAGACGAAGAGTGACAATGTCTTACCTCATTATGAATCAGTCTTCTTCTGCATTACGTCTGCATGGCTAACGTGTGTCTTACTTTGGTACGAGCTGACGAGGCGTATACTGTCGTGTCATAGTGCCATTAGTGCCACGACAGCACTGACGTGTCTCTGCTGCTTATCTCTCCATGATTGCCTTTTACATGTTCACTTCTAAATTATCCTAGAACAAATCAGATGGTGTTTCCTGCTGTGGCATACGCGAGTTGCATGGAAGGAATCTTGCGTGCGTACGTTATAACAATGCCATGTACGCATACCCCCCCCCCCCCCCACACACACACACAATCTCTCGTTCCAGCCTAACAGTATTTGCTGGAGTTGTTCCAGCACAAAACCTCTCCAAAGTCTGGGTGCATAGAAACTTCAGCTCAGTACGAAAGTAGGTTTCAAACATCACTACCTGCCCTGCATGATAATAGCTGTACTAAAGTAGGTTTCAAGCATCACTACCTGCCCTGCATGATAATAGCAAAATACAAGTGTGACAAGGAGGCTCAGTGGGTAGAGCATCGTTGGCCTCAAGCAAAGGTCTCTGGTTCACATCCTGGTGGTGGCAGTCAATTTATTCTTCAGACTTTTCCCTTTCCATTCCCGCAGCCTATGAGTAACAAGGACCCTTCCTAATATGGACGATGTTCAAACCCTGGAAACCACTCAGCTACCTTTCCTCTTGGTGGATTTTCCAGATCTCCTCAACTTTGCGATTGCTACACTTGATGGAGGCTTGTGAGAATGCTTCCAGGCGCTTGCGCTTCAGGTCCATTGTCTTGGAGATATCCGCTATTGGTGCAGTCGGTTTATGCGCAGAGAGCATCCACACACATGCGCACATACACACACGTGCACACACACATTCATACGCACATGCATGCACACACACACACACACACACACACACACACACGCGTGCGCATCCACACATGCGCGCACGCATCCCCCCCCCCCCCCCCCCACACACACACACGCACACAGTCGAGTGTCTACACTCCTGCATCCATAAGCCCTGCACATACATTGTACCTTCTAAAGTGATTGAAATGCTCGCTGGGACTTCCCGTCCGCAATTCCGTCCTGCGGCAAACGTCTTACACCATGACACATATTTGGCACTGTGAAGAAGGAGAGAGCGATGGTGCCAAGCTTTGAATTTTTTTAAAGAGAACCACCGGTCGGTCTAGATTAATTTGCCTCGAGCCGCAGTGCTTGAACAAAGTCACAACAGGAGTCGAATTTCGGCTCTCGCTGCCTTCAACTAGTCTTCTTCATAGATCTTTCAGGAAGTCTGAGAGAAAGAAGTAATGGCGGGGAAACTTTGAGTACTGTACTCGCGTGATTAGTGCCCCTGGGGCACTATTTTGTCAATGTTCATCACAGAGAGGGCACTATTCAAGAGAGGGCACTGTTTTTTTCAATGCTGGTACATTCACGTCGTCCAGCATAGAAACAAACAAGGCAACGAAAAACAGAGCCTAAAGTTTACTGTAAACTATCACAACTCCAAAGAAACGGCAACAAGATCTGCAATTTTGATCCTGAAACTACCAGTGCAATGGCATGGAGAAGAGAATTACCAAAATAACACCTAACTTGAACATGCATTTGGTTACCAGCGGGGGGTGGGGGTGGCACTATTAAAGATAGGGCTTTGTTTTTGGACAGGCTCTCCGAGACTGGGGCTCTATTCGAGAGAGGGCACTATTCAAGAGAGGGCTCTAGTCGCGCGAGTACCGTATTGCATCCACGAAAGGGAACAGGCTGCATACCAGCAGTGTTAACTAAAGATATGCCACAAAGCAGAAATGTGAGAGCGGCACATGCACTGCATTAACTTACATCCAAATGAGTTCAATACTGACTGCATGTCACCTGAACTTGGCATTCCTGCTGGCGCTGTGGAGCTGCACGTTGCCATGCCGACAAAACACACCACAATGGGGAAGGAAAAGAGACCAAAATAAAGTTTAAAATGTAGCTAAATGTTGTTCCCAGCAATTGTTCGCAACTCCTCTTCGCTTTGAAAATGCCGAATATCACTGTCAAAATATAAGTCCAAAACTTACTGCACTACGGAGGTAAAAAGCGGGACAGCAATTGCCATGTAACGTGAAAATATTAGCCAAGACGAGTCCAAAGGATGGCGAGGGAGGGAGGGAGAGGAGGGGGAGGGATGTTAAATGTGGATTTCGAACACAACCATTGCGAAATAGCAATTCCAGATGTATATCACAAGGCAAACTGTGGACCTTAGAAAATACAACAAAACCCCTCCCACGTGGAGCTGTGATACTGTGACCTATTAGCAAATAAATGATGAAATTGAGGTTAAAAGTACAATCACCAGAGATCACGACAATGTCTTCTGTCAGGATCAAGGGATTGCCGGCATGTGCTAAAGCCGCGGGGGGGGGGGGGGGGGGAGGGCAGAGCTTTGTGGTATTGGAGGAATACAACCCACTGGCAAGGCTACTCTGCGAAGGGATCTGTGAAAGCTGCCGAAGGAGATTGCACGAAACCCATGGGGGGAGGGTCCGTACGTACCATTGTAGATCGTTTAGCTAAAACTGCCCCACCCAACCGCTCACTCAGCTCGATCAAAACCCCATTGTCCGCGAACATTCTTGCACAGCTTACCTGAAATCATCAAACTCAGCGCTCTCCTCATAGGATCGCTTGGTACCTCGGGATGATGAGGTGGCTGCCATGCTGGATGCTGATGCTGCGCTAGCTACTGATGTACTCTTCACACCTACATGTACATAGTCGGGGTAAAGCAGAAAACACACTTCTACATCACGTACTGTAAACCACCCAATATCCGCGTCATTAAATTTTCGCGATTTCTCAGAAGCAGTGAGGTAACGATTGGAACTTTTTGCAGAATATTGTGGCCACACACGCATACACCCACTATTGAAGTTTGATTTCACAGTGGTAAATATTCACGCTGTGCTCTCCTTGCGAAATTAGCAAACATTAATACATCGCAAGCATTACGCAGTTCACAGTACCTGTTGTGTTCACTACTAACACCTCAAAAGTTTCAGGATCGCACAGACGCCACAAGACAAAAGGTCACGTAATTCTTTACGGACTATAATGAATGAACAGTAGAATACATTGAGAAGAAGAGACTGGAAAAATACGAACTACATCGGAAAGAGAACTCTAGAACACTAAAGAAAACAAACCACAGCATCAAGGAAAAGAACAACGCATGAGGGGTAAAGCGCTGGCCAGCCACAACGTGCGTCAAAACTTTGGCATGAGCGTACAGAAGAGCGTACAGCGCTCGGAAAGCGGAAGCTAAATTTGGCGGCAAAGCGACAGCAATAGTACGGCGCGCGGCACATAAGCAGTACGAGGCGAGGCACGTATACGCGTGTGCGGCAAACATTACACACCATGTTCCATATATGCATGAACAGCGCGGGGCGCATACTAACTCATTCAACATCAGTGCGCGGCGCAGGCATCTAGCTAGCTGGCGCAAGCATGATCATAATTGCATGCCATCACGCAATCAGCGCACATAAATCGCGCATCAAATAAATAAGTAATCAAACACAAATCAACACATCAACTAAATAAATCAACGAGCTAGCAAGAACACAATTCAAAAATGCAACGAAGAAATAATTACTATTCTAGTCGGTTATTCGCATGGGACCAAGCGCAATGTCCAAGCTGATGAACTGTGATTGCACAAGGTAAGCCCAAGCTCCTGAGCTAACCGTTCTGGTGAGCAGTCTTCTTCGTGCTGCAAACACACACTACACAATGTGTCGTATCTCGTAACAAGTACTGTACCAAATCACAACGAACACTAACAATACGCAATAGTAAACAATAATCAAAAACACTACGCAAAAAAGCAAAGCAAGCAGCACCTAGCCAGGGAGACAAGCAGGAGTCACGGTCGCAACGAAATCTCGACGACACCCCAGAAGACCTTTCTCCGACACGATACACAACAGTACCCAACCCTCACACCTGCACAGTGTGGTTGAAGCAGAGAACACACTTCTACATCACGCACCCAACCCTAACACCCAACCTTCGCACCCAAAAACCCTCACGCCCAACCCTCACACCCAAAAACCCTCACACCCAACCCTCACACCCAAAACCCTCGCACCCAACCCTCACACAATCACCTACCTGTACCTGTCTCTCCATGTTGGCATGGTGATAGCTTGGAAGCTATAACCATGCCAACATGCTTCAAACTGTGAAAAGCAGTCTTGTTGAAAGTAGCATGCCGATCATGAATGAACATTGCTGGTTTACACCTCATTGGGATAGCACTATGCCCAACACCACTCACATCCAGCTAGCACCTCGACACCCTGTATCACCAATGCATCAATTCTCCACCTTGTCAATTGGCATATACGCACACGATATTTCCCCGATTATAAATTTGCCATAGCGAAATGATTTGTACAAACTCCGGATTGTTGTGTAATCGTAGGTGACATTTACGTTTTGTTGTTCTTTCATATTATTAGTATTTATTATCAGAGTCTAATCAATTCGTTCGTCGTTGTCAGCATGTAAACGAGGTACTGCTTGCCTTGAGTCAACAACACGGAATTCACGAGTTACGATTGTTCTTACTACGACATTGCATGTTGTTTGTACATTTACAATCACGTACATGCAGCTTGGCAAGTTGTGTCACGATGCAATGCATACCAATTTATTTCACTACACGTATTTCTCGTAACACATCAATTCTTACTTCGTAGGTGTTTAGGTCCGGTCTTGCGTGACAGAGGTAGTTAGTCTTAGTTAGCTTTCTCCATGATTGATTCTAAGAAACACGGACATTGATTCTAGCTTCAAACTCTTTCTTCTTTGTCTGCCTGTGCATTTTGTTCCCAAACAAATCCTTCGTTCAATGTGCTTATCTTTCCGCTTTCCGCTTTTCGCGCTCTGCAGATTTGTTTGCCTCGCGCTCAGCTTTGTTTCCTTTTCTTTGTCTACTGCATTATTATGACGTATGATTTGTGTACGCACTTATCACCTGACCGTTTGACTGCATGCGCTATGCACGCTCTAGGCTAGTGCATTTGAGCGATCGTAGCGATCCGCTTTCCTTGCCGTTTTCGTCTTCTCCGCTTCTTTATTCAGTCGAGTCAGTGTCGCTGCACTAGTTTGTCTTGCAGTTTATCCACGTCGCAGTCGTTCATGGTCGCCATCTTTACATTTGATTTTGATGCGCAGCTGCATGCTGATGCAGCTGCCTTTTTCCCTTTTTCGATGGTCTTTGACCACTTGGCGGTGAGCTGATCTACTCACCTCCCACCGCTTTAGGAGCTACATCTGCGCTTTGATCCTTGAAGGGTGGTGGCGTTCCTACGGATGCGGAAAGCCTGGCTTCCAGCCGAGTCTCACGCGAACCGTGAAATATATATATTCTTTCCAATTTTATACTGAATCTACTGTATGTATTCTCTCACCCACGTTGTAGCATGCCAAGGGTTGGATGCAGGGATGGGTAATTAAGCTAGTAGTAGCAATTCAGTAACAGGATTGTAAGTCGCACCCCACTTTCAGGTCGAGTTCATCTTGTTTCAATAATTATATTCACACCAGCAAGATGTCACACTCGATTGTAAGTCGCACCTCCTTTTGTTTGCCCTTGAAGTTTAGTGCAAAAAAAGTGCGATTTAAATTCGGGGAAATACGATATGTGAAGCAATGTTCAGTCGGAATAGGCGTCACGTGGCTCCTGTGGACAGGGACTGCGGCTTAAGCTGGAGGCTGCTCAGTAGACATAGTGTGACGTGTGTTGGTGTTGTGATGGACGTGGACTCTCTGACTGTGTGTCACACTGGATGGCACAATGTTGTAATTTTGTCGACTGAGTGTAATCTTTGTTTCAGGATTACCCAAAAGCTAACGTCGTGCGCTAGATTGTTCTATAATACCGTGCAACAGCCTGTCAATGTGTCTTCACCCTTGCCAGCATACGTATGGCCCCAGATCCACATCTTTACAACACTTCACACTGATATCTACATGCAAACACAGCTCTGCACTTCTCTCCCTCCGCTTTCACCAGCTCTCTTACACTCTACGACTAGGTACTAAGTTTCACCCTGGCTGACACATTTCTCATCGCTATTCATTGCTCTTCACACTTCACAGTAGTTGATCTACACTCCACATGACTGCATTCATGGACATCTATTACATTAAGGAAGGGTTTGCTCCCCACACCGGAGCTCATGCTATTCCGCCGACTTTACTTGACACTTGACTATATCTATTACATTAGCTTCTTGTTTGTTTTCCTTCAGTTTTACTGAAAAAGTCGGTGCTAGACAGCTAGACAGAAAAGATGTGTACTCACAGCAGATAGGCAATGGGGTGTGCGGTAGGAATGAGTGCTGACTGGTGTGTAAATAACAGTGGTGGAGTGTGTGATAGTTTTTAGAGAAGACACAGATCCCTGGCAATCCAATCCAAGTCAAGCCAATCTAAGCCTAGCTGAGCCAAGTTGAGCCAAGTTGAGCCAAGCCATACTGGACCAAAGTAAGTCTTGAATGTACAGGTGTTTGTCATGTTTTGTAATTATGAAGTAGTTCCAACTCCACCACTTCTGTTTTTCCTCCACCACTTTTGTATCTTATCTACTTCAGGATTCCTCAGAGGCTCTCCATATCAGCATATAACGTTAAAGCAGGAAAACGCATCAAGAGGGGAGAGAGAGAGAGAAAGAGAGAGAGAGAGAGAGAGAGAGAGAGAGAGAGAGAGAGAGAGAGAGAGAGAGAGAGAGAGAGAGAAAGTTACATTTATAAAGACAGGTAAGTCTAACAAATGAGGACTGAGACCTCTACAACAGGGTTTTTACGCATGAAAGCAGGTGCATGATTTAACAAGCAGGTTGTCAGTCTAGATTTTATGCGCAGATGGAGAAAAAGCGCAGAATTTTTGTAATGAGATGAAAAGCAGAAATAATAAGAAAAGATGAAATGAAAGCCTGCTCACAACCCCGCCCAGCCTTGCGAACTGGGTATGGTGGATTAAGAACCCGGTTCAACGCTCGAGCAAGCGCTCTCCACTCAAGGTGTTCACAGCAACTGATAGGAACTCATATGGGGAAATTATAGAAAAGAAATAATAAGATAAAGAGAATAAATTTCAACGCACCTCAATAAACGGAGCCCCACATACAGTACCTCAGAAAAGTGGATCTTCCGACCAGTGTTTTTGTTGACGTCGCAACCAGATGATGTAGCTGCTTCGCAGAGACGTCTTACTGCACAAATTACAAATAAATTTTATTCTTCGATTAGAAAACCCAAGCGCTTTCAGAGCCCTCCGAAGAGAGTCCGGGATGAAACCACGCACACCTACCTCAACCGAAAAAGAAACGACCTGCCACCCGTTTGCTCGGCATTGGTCGGCCAGATCCGCATACCGCCTGTCCTTCCGCGAGTTACTGACACTGAATCTGTCCTCAGCACAAACTGTCAACTCCATCCAGAATACAATCCTACGACTCGTAGAGTACAGAACTATATCTGGTCTTAGGGTGGTAAGTGCAACACAGCTAGGGAAAGAAATCTTTGCACTAACTGAGTCGACAAGAAGTTTCCAGTCTGAGGCCGCCGACAGGAGATCAGTCGTAACCAACTTCCGTCTGGGCTGAACGCGAAATGGCTTCTCTCCCGCCTTGCAAAACGAGATGAAGTCAAGCTCATTTGAATTTTCGGTTTGTACGGTGTTTGCAGCAGTGCGGATTCGAATCTCCTCACGCATGTTCCTGACGATGACCCCGAGTACGT